CCCTGTCCCTGGGGGTACGGGGGGGTCCGGCTCGGAGTGGGTCAGCACAGGGCGCAGCGGGCGCTGCGGGTCCCTGCCTGCACCTTGGCGTCCAGGGCGCGGGGCCTCCCCTGGCCCCACGAGAGCTTTGCCCAGTCCCCGTTTGAAAGCTGCAGTTTGGAGCTTCCAGACAGCTCTGCAAGTCCTTCCGCCCGTCCTGCGACGGGGAAGTGGTTCTTGCTCCCGGGTTACGTCAATTATTGCAAAACACGAAAGCGCATAATGAAAATAGCGGATTCCTAAGGGTCCTTTGGCACGACGAAGTTGTATTTACGTTTGTGACATCTTTGCAGTTAATTATTCCCCCATAACAGCGGCGGTAGCTTTGCATAGCTGCAGGTTAGTGAAATATTTCCCAGTTCTTGGATAATTCTGGGTTTGCAGGCATGCAGATGCCGGGTCGGGGGTGACTCCTGCATTGCCAAGCACGTGGCTTCCAGTTATTTCCTTTGCCAGGTTCCTGCAGGGTCTGACCTGCCTCTGTTCACCCGCAGATGTGCCGGGGAGCGCAGACGGCAGCGGCGGCCGCCCCAGCGTCGCAGGCGCCGCCGCGCATCAAGAAATTCTCCATCTACAGATGGGATCCCGACAAGCCTGGGGACAAGCCCCGCATGCAGACGTACGAGGTGGATTTGAATAAGTGAGTATTTACCTTTAGGAAGAAGGTTCCTGGCTGTAGCCGGCGGGCAGGATCATCGGGGCTGTTCGTACACGCCAGTTCCCTGACAGCTGATATGGGAGGGTGGTTATTAAGTATTTGAGCAAACAGCTGAGGGTGTCGGCACTTATGGGGCTTGGAGGGTAGCTGAAGCCCTGGTGGGGTGGCCGTGACGTGGCCCTTCGTCCTGCTGTGGAGCAGCCCGGTGGCGGCGGGAGCAGGCGTTGCTGCCAGGCAAAGCAAAGCTCCTCCTGCATTGGGTTATGTCCCACCACTGCCTGTTGGGTACACGGGTCTGAAACGTGGTAGGTAAGAGTGTTGTGGCAGTAAACGACGTTGGAGCTGCCTCTCAAACACAGTCACTTTGTTCTGTGACCTCTCTGAGGCTTTACCTGTGTCCCTGACTCGCGTCAAAGATGGTTTAAGGCGTCCTGTGTGGTGAATGGGGGTGGCCCTCCAAAAGAGAGTCATGGCTAAGCATGGCACATAGCCCTCGACCTGGAGCCAGGACAGGCTCTGTGACCTCCTCTCACAGCTGGTTATTGACCAGTCGCTGTGCCAGTTTGGGGGCACAGGAGGGCTCCAGCTCCCGCTCCAGGTCTCGGTGCAGCGCCGGCACCTCATCCCGCAGGATCCGCGGAGCTCCGGCCCTGCCCGGCTGGGAGGATTCGCTCCAGCCCCTCGAGACCTCGCGCGGAGCCGGCGCCTGGCGCTGCAGAGCACCCAGCGGGGAGCTGCAGCCTCGCTGCTTTGTGGCTTCCCTGCGTAATGATCTCTGGGAGTTGCCTTGTCTGCCGTGTAGCAGATTATATAAGTTGTCCGAGACTGTTTGTTTTGGGTGAATTGCTGCCTCTGCTGTGACTCAGGAGGACAGGCTTGTCAAAACCTGCCTTAAAAGGAGAGACTCAGTAGAATTATAGAATCACAGAATGGTTAAGGTTAGAAGAGACCTCTAGAGCTCATCTAGTCCAACCCCCTGCACACGCAGGGTCACCTACAGCACGTGGCACAGGACTGCGTCCAAGCGGGTTTGGAAGATCTCCAGAGAAGGAGACTCCACAACCTCTCTGGGCAGCCTGTTCCAGTGCTCTGTCACCCTCAGTGTTAAGAAATTTTTCCGTAAGTTCCTGTGGAACTTTTGATGCTTCAGTTTCCGGGCGTTGCCTCTAGTTCTGTCAGTGGCCACCGCTGAAAAGAGGCCAGCACCATCCTCCTCACCGCAGCGAGGCCCTGGGCGAGAGCTTTTTCCATTCTGCTCCCTGGACCCTCTGCTGCTCAGCCAGACCTTCAGGGCAGCAGCAGAAGACATCAAAGCTGGGGCTTGGTGCACTGGCTGGGCAAGCGGTATCTAACCCCTTGTAGGGGATTGGCAGCACTTCTGTTGAAGCGGAGTTGAGGTGAAGCCCTTGCAGGTGGTTCTCAGTGGGGAGAGAGGCAGCGCTGGGGCAGGGGGGAGCTGTGTGGGGTCACGGGCTCCGTTTGCCGTTGCAGGTGTGGGCCCATGGTGCTTGACGCCCTCATCAAGATAAAAAACGAGGTGGACTCCACGCTGACCTTCCGCAGGTCGTGCAGGGAAGGTAAGGAGGACTCTTCAACCTGCTGAAACGAAAGTTGTTCTCAAAGGGCGTTTGCTGCCCAGGAAAAGCTAGAGCTGATGGTGTGCGTGTGGAAAGGCAGGAGACAGAGCCAACGTCTGCCTTGCTGAGTGTTGGGCATGAAATAGGAAATGGAGCAGGGAAGCTAGAGCTGCTGCTCACAGCTCAAATTCACGTAACGCTGACGAGCTGTGAGTGGTCTGCTTAAAGAGCTCTAGTTGTTCCTGTTTCCTTCCCTATGCTGCTTGTCTTGCTGCTCTTAAGTGAGGGGCTCTCTGGGGAAATGGAGCAAGAGACATTTCAGCAGCAAAAATCCTGAAAGGGGGAACAAAAAACCCCTTGGTGAAGGGGATTGGGTTGTACGGGTTGCCTCTATGGTGCCACTGCTAAAATAACGCGGTTGGAAGAGCCTCACTTCTGGGAGGAGCTTCGGAAATCTTTTCTGGTCTTTAAAATAAGAAAAATGGTTGGTGAGGAAAAGGCATCGGGTTGTCTCATCCTGCGGGACCCCGGGCAGGTACAAATCAACCCGTTTGGTAACTGTGTAAGGCTTTGCAGGTCGGGGGACTATTCCCTGAAACGGGTTGGGACTCGTGGGCGGTGTTGGCCCACTGTCCTCGAGGTAACTGCTGTGGAGACACGAGCTGCTTCCGTGAATGGGGTTTGGGTCTCCCTGGTGTGTTTTTAAGTACTAGATGTAGGTGTGATTGTCTGATGCATATTTTTTATCTTCTAGACCTAAATGCCAAACTCTCTTTAAAATGCAGCTGCTTCCTGGAGAATCAGCGCAGCATGTGGAAGCACTTTATCCTCTGCATTTTTTTCCTGTGTCTGATATTTAAATAACCAACGTTATTCCCGAGCAGAAGTAATTACTCTGGATAGTTTTCTCTGAGAAACGGAAGTCAGTGTTTCTGTCTGACCTGTCGCAAGCAGAGCGTGCCAAATCCCCTGAAATTCGGGTTCCTGCTTTGAGTGCTTGTTTTCCTCCTCATGCAGCGCACGTCGTACGTGGGCTGAGCTGGACGCCCGCGCGCTTCACCCGGGTGTTGTCTGTGCCAGCTCTGAGACGTTCATTCCTCTAAACGCCAGGATGACCTCGCACTTTCCTTGGTTATATCTGATCCCTGCGTTACTGGGAGGTCATTAGTGGCGTCGTTTAATCCACTCGTTATGCTGGATACGTGCTGTTTGTCCTGGGAATCTCCATCCTCTCCTGTTTGCAGCCTGATGAACTCGGTTTATGGCAGGACTGTCTCCAGCTGCCGAAGACATGGGAACAACAGCTCCATTTTCTGTTCCTGCCCTTTGGGGACGTTTTTGACCACATCTGTAGCACTGCTGGGGCCTGCGCCTGGTTCCCATGCTGCAGCGTGAGCGCCGGCCCGCGCGGAGCCGCGCGGCTCTGGGGTTCAAAGGTGGGAGCGGCGCCGCGCGCGTCACCGGCGCCGCGCGGGAGATTCCTGCGCAGTGACCCGCGCTCTTCCTCCCCCTTCCAGCTGCTTTAAGTAGCACCTAAGCAGATGTGTGTTGGGAAAGCTGTGAGCTGTCCGAGCCGCTGGTCTCCCGCTGCGGAAGCGGGTTTGGCGTGGAAGATGTGCTCAGACCTCAGAGGAAGAACGTGGAAGCTGTTTGTTGTGTTTAAACAGCACTGAAATTAGCCCTGTGGCAATTTCGGGCGTTTGCCCCGTCACGTACGGAGGCTCTTGAAAAGCCAGTGAAATGGAAGACAGCCTAGGAGCTAGTTTGAGGCATGGAGGATCTATTCCCAATGGAACACGAGGGTGTATGTCCAATGTTTTACGTTCACAGTCACTTTGCTTTTGTTTTCTTCTCCCCCCACCAGGTATCTGTGGTTCTTGCGCTATGAACATCGCTGGAGGAAACACGCTGGCCTGCACCAAAAGGATCGACCGCGACCTCAGCAGGGTCACCAAGATCTACCCTCTCCCCCACATGTATGTGGTGAAGGATCTCGTCCCGGTGAGCAGCCAGGGCAGGCTGGGACTGAGGGTTCCCTGTGCCGAGGGGCTTGGGTTGAGGCAGGAAGAAGGATGAAGCACCAAAAATTCCATAGGAACTTAAGGAAAAATTTCTTGACAGTGAGGGTGCCAGAGCACTGGAACAGGCTGCCCAGAGAGGTTGTGGAGTCTCCTTCTCTGGAGATCTTCAAACTCGCTTGGACGCAGCCCTGTGCCACGTGTTCTAGGTGACCCTGCGTATGCAGGGGGTTGGACTAGATGATCTCTAGAGGTCCCTTCCAACCCTAAGCATTCTATGATTCTGTGATTCTATGTGAGGGAGGGTGGCAAAGCCCACGTGGCCCAAGAGCCCCACGAGTGGCCTCCTCCTCTCCACTTTCTGAAATGGGTGCCCTGAGCACCACAGCGGTGGATAAATCCGTTTGCATTTGGAGACGTGTGGTGGGATGATGTGCAAGGTAACGTTTGCTGTTCGAGTGATGGCAGCAGGTAGCTCCACGTGATGCTTTTTGCCTTTTGCATCTTAGGACCTGAGTAACTTCTACGCACAGTACAAATCCATCGAGCCTTACCTGAAGAAGAAGGACGAGTCGCAGCAGGGCAAGGCCCAGTACCTGCAGTCCATAGAAGACCGTCAGAAACTGGTTACTGCTGCTTTCCTACCCTTGAAATCCCTCCCAGATCAGCTGCTAGCAGGCAGTAGCTGCCCTCTTTTGCGTGCTGGCAGAGCTGGCTGGTGCAGAAGCTGCAGGGGGTGGAATCGGTGGCTGGGGTCCCCTTTGCTCATGAAACGCAGCTGCCGGGGGGACTCTGCGCTGCAAAACTGTGTGTGTCCATAAGAAAAGTGCTGTGAAGGGTGGAGCCTTGGCGTATTTCCGTGGAGATAAGGCACTGTGTGTGTGTGCTGGTTGCCAGGCTCAGCACTGTGCTTATCTCGCCCAGCAGACGCTTTGTTAGCAGCGCTGTCCTGTCCCTGCTCGCTGGGTTTTACATCCTTAAAGCTCTTGGCAAAGCTGAGCTCTTTTGGAGGTAAAGCCATTCCCAAGGTGCTTCAGCCTCGCTGTTGGGGTGGGACTGGGTGTCCCTCTCAAGCACTGTGTCATTTTGGGGGGCTTCAGCTTGGGGGGATTTGGTGGTGTTGGATCAAAGCTACCGCAGAAAGCCAGGAGTATCTGAACCTTTTGAGAACTGGGAGAGGGGCAGGTTTGAAGGAGCTTGTGTTGCAGGTAAGTTTTCGTGTGGAATTCCTTGGTTGCCACAGTAAGTATCTTTAAATGGAGGATTTCTTTTTGCCTCTGTCCTGCCTTGGGTCATCCTTTGGTCACATCCCAGTTCAGAGCAGCTCTGCCGCAGTCACGGCTGTGGCTTTGGTAGGTGTGAGAGGGCTGCACACGGCAGCGAAGGGGAGTTGATTAAAGGAGATTATTGCAAGTCCTGAGCTGGCAGTCTCACCTTCAAACGTTTCCCGTTGCAATATTTGCTGTGAGTTCAACAGCTGATGAACAGACTTGTTGTGTGCCCGAGATGTCAGTCGTGCCATGAGGCTGCTGTGGAGGTGTCTTGACAGGCCCAGGGTGTTACACCTGGAAGGAGTTTCTATTCAAGAGCAAAAGACCGTTTTCCTGCACCACTTCCTGGTGTTACCTGGTGACACGGGTGAACTCCACAGGGCTCCCTTCAGATGATTTTTGCAAAGCAGCAACCTCAAAATCTTTTTTTACTTCTTTTTTTTTTCTTTTTAAATTAAGCAAAAATTACCAAACCTGACATTAGCTGCCAGTGTTATGCCTAAATCTTCACGGTGGTATCTTTATTCCCCTAAAGTTTCTCTTGCTTTCAGAACAACCTGTGTGCATGAGAAACTGTGTTGGATAAAAGTCAATTGCAAAACTCCCACTTTTCTCTTTAAATCCTCAATAATTTGAGGTATTACAATTAGAAACAGTACAAGTTTAGATCGAGATGGTTAATTCCAGCTTAATTGTACTTTAAGTCTTCCAAAATACATCGAAGCAGCCACGATAGTGCAGTGGATTTGGTATAAACTCGGGTGAGCTTCCAAACTTGACTCATACTTGCTCTGCAAATGTCTGGGGCTCCCTTCACGATGCTGCAAGTTCTTCACCTCCTCCCAAGGCTTCTTGGCAGACTTGGATCTCTGCTCTTCTCTCGGCTGCGCGCGGGTTCCTTTCCCTGCGAGCGTGTTGGGCCGAGGGAAGCACGTGCTTGTGTAAATCCCCTGTTTTTCCCCCAAAAAAGCTTTCCTCCTGGGTGCGCGGCGCGGCCTGACCGCGCTCTCCCGCCCGTGTGCAGGACGGCCTCTACGAGTGCATCCT